TTTCAGCCACACACCTCAGCAGCCCTCCTCACTCACCTCCCTTTAAGGCTTTCTTTCTCCAGTGCAAAGTCTGAAGAGCCATTTGGTCAATAGAAAATGGTGCCGCCATTGAAGTTGTTCCGATCATCACTAGACCATTCACTTTATGTCCCACCTGTCCACTGACAAATCATGCTTTTTTTAAAAAAATATTTTTATTGATTTTTTACAGAGAGGAAGGGAGAGAGATAGAGAGAGTTAGAAACATCGATGAGAGAGAAACATCGATCAGCTGCCTCCTGCACATCTCCCACCGGGGATGTGCCCGCAACCCAGGTACATGCCCTTGACCAGAATCGAACCTGGGACCTTTCAGTCCGCAGCCCGACGCTCTATCCACTGAGCCAAACTGGTTTCGGCCACCAGAAGGTTTCTTACAGGGCCTTTCAAAGGCTGAAGCAGGAACAGAACTGCTGGGTCTGAATCTTACGTTTCTGCTACACGGTCCGTGTGGCGTGCACATCACAGCTGGCACGGAACTGCCTGCGTTTAGTTCGAAACACCAACCACGCCCAGGAACAACCTCTCTGAGAAGCGATCCGAGAGCCGCGGCATCAGAGGCAGCAGCGGTGTCGCCGGTGCCCGAGGACGACGAGCAAGTGGACTGGGAAGTCCTGGGCTCACTCGGATCCTCATCTCCACCGACGAATAGGAGAATCTGCTTCCAGATGAACTCAGGACACCTCCTTCCACTCTCCGAGGAGCCATCAGCGGTACGAACTCTAGACGATGCAGCACGAGGTTGCAGGGCGCAAGTGCCCACTGCCTGGCAGCCTAGGTCTTCTGCTGCAGCCTAGATCCTCTGCTGCGGCCTAGGTCCTCTGCTGCAGCCTAGGTCCTCTGCTGCAGCCTAGATCCTCTGCTGCAGCCTAGATCCTCTGCTGCAGCCTAGGTCCTCTGCTGCAGCCTAGATCCTCTGCTGCGGCCTAGGTCCTCTGCTGCGGCCTAGATCCTCTGCTGCGGCCTAGGTCCTCTGCTGCAGCCTAGATCCTCTGCTGCGGCCTAGGTCCTCTGCTGCAGCCTAGGTCCTCTGCTGCGGCCTAGATCCTCTGCTGCGGCCTAGGTCCTCTGCTGCAGCCTAGATCCTCTGCTGCGGCCTAGGTCCTCTGCTGCAGCCTAGGTCCTCTGTTGCAGCCTAGATCCTCTGCTGCAGCCTAGGTCCTCTGCTGCGGCCTAGGTCCTCTGTTGCAGCCTAGGTCCTCTGTTGCGGCCTAGATCCTCTGCTGCAGCCTAGGTCCTCTGCTGCAGCCTAGGTCCTCTGTGCAGCCTAGATCCTCTGCTGCAGCCTAGGTCCTCTGTTGCAGCCTAGATCCTCTGCTGCAGCCTAGATCCTCTGCTGCAGCCTAGGTCTTCTGCTGCAGCCTAGGTCCTCTGCTGCAGCCTAGATCCTCTGCTGCAGCCTAGATCCTCTGCTGCAGCCTAGGTCCTCTGTTGCAGCCTAGATCCTCTGCTGCAGCCTAGGTCCTCTGCTGCAGCCTAGGTCCTCTGTTGCAGCCTAGGTCCTCTGCTGCAGCCTAGATCCTCTGCTGCAGCCTAGGTCCTCTGCTGCAGCCTAGGTCCTCTGCTGCAGCCTAGGTCTTCTGCTGCAGCCTAGGTCCTCTGCTGCAGCCTAGGTCCTCTGCTGCAGCCTAGGTCCTCAGCTGCAGCCTGGCGGCTTTGAACTTGGACACCCGCTTGGTGACCTCTGACCCTTCTGACGGGACTTCTCTCCGCTCAGGGATCGTGGGCAGCACAGGGTGGACCGTGGCCGGGTGCGGGGCGAGGCAGGGCGACAATTCTTTCTCTATTACAGTTCCAGAAAAAGCCTCAAGCGTCCCGGGCGCGGGCAAGAGTGTCTCTGGAAGCTGCTCCTGCTCCTCCTCCAAAATGCTCTCGCCGGCGCCGCTGCCCATGGCCTCCTCGCAGCTGACGCTCCGCAGGAGCCCGCGGCGCTCCTCCTCGCAGTCGGCGCTGCCCTCGCTGGTGTCGCTGCACACGCTGTTCTCGCGGCTGCGCGGCTTCAGGATGGACTTCCGAGGGATGTACGCCCCGTTCACCAGGTCCACGAAGACCCTGTAGATGTCCGCAGGGTCCTGATCGTGGGCAGCTCCGGGCCGGGTGGCCCACCACAGCTGTTCCTTCGCTTCCGTTTGTCTTCTCCTTCTTCTCACTGAATGTAAGGTGGTGTTTTCCCAGTATTGATTCGAACCCGCT